CGACCTCGGCCAAGACGGACTCGAAGCACACATCGTCAACAAGGCGCTCCGCGACGCGCTTGACGAGCTCGGTGAAGGCGCACGACGCCGTGTCGCCTGCGAGCGCGTGGATAATCTCGCGCCGTACGGCTCCACGCACCGGGAGGCGCGCTGCGGCAGCCCGCTCGCCGAGGATAACGGTGAAAACATAGAGGAGCTCTTCCGCCATGTGCGCAAGTTGCGCGCCTTCGTACTGCGGGTGTAGCTGCCGCGTCGCCGGTCCATCTTCGTCGTCTCCGAAAGAAAAGTACTCGCGCATCTGGAACCGATCCAGGATCGACACAAAGATGATGTCGGGCGAGACCACGATGAGCGCAGTCTGCAGTATGAACAGATCCTGGTCGTAGCAAAGCTCGCGGAGCATGAAGTCGCGATAGTGCAGCAACTGCCCGCGAATCGCGAAGCCGTTGCGCACCCACAGGCCTGTGCGAATTTGCGCGATCATGGCAAGGACTAGAGGGCGATTAGTACGAGCGCAGGAAGAAAAATGGAAAGCACACACCTCGCAGCGGATAGTCTACGATCACCAAAATTGCTTGCTCGCTCGCCTTGGTCAACAAGAACTGCCTCAAACTCTCATACCCCAACTCCTTAAGCTTCGCCGCATCCAAACCCCCCACATGCTTGAACAACTCCGCCAGCAGCCAGTGCAGCGCATGATGAAAGCTCACCCACCCCTCCAATACGTCAAACTTTACAATATCGTACCGCCGGCTGCCAAATCGTACCACTTGGAATTCGGGCGGCGTGAATTTGGTGGGGTCAAGCCGGGTATCGGGCTCGGCGGACATGGTGCACACGACCATGACCTGGTGCATTACCACTCCCATCGCGCCGATGAGTTGCGACGGCGTTGCCTTGGCAAACGCCTCGCCATAGACTTTGATAACCCGCGACAGCGACAAAGTGACGTTGAACACGCTGATCCATGCGTCCGTCTCGTACTCGACGTGCGCCTGCGCCGCTCGCTTGTTGGGATTCAGGCACATGAACAGGGAGCACGTCTTCACAAACTGCAAAATGTACTCGCGGCCAGAGGCGATGAGCGCTTGCACGGGCGCCGTGTGCGCGAGGTAGCGTAGGTCGCTAAAGACGGGCATGAACCGCTTGCTTTTGAATGGGAAAGCGTCGACGTCTAGGCGGCCAAGAGGGTGGGGCGGGTACACGATATGCCGGTCGACGATTTGGTTGGTAAAGAACGCGGAGATGAGCGCAAGGATGCGAGCCACGAGGTGGTGATTGCGCGCGACGTGTCCCGAGGCAGAGGGCACGGTGAAAAGCTGAAGGGCAAAGTACTTGATTGAGGTCTCGGCCTCACGATCGACGAGGAGGTACGCGTCCACGACGCGGTGGTATACATTTGCGAAATGGCCAGCTTGGTAGGATGTCAGTAAATAGATGAAGAAATAAGAGAGTAAACGGCGACGTACCAACGGCAAGCTTGTGTTCCCGACTGATGGATAGAATGGCAGCGTACGTCTCCTTGAGCGCGAGCCGCGGGCGCTTCCACAGCTTGGTGTGGTCGAGGAATAGACAGTCGATGCGCGTGCGGTTGGGAATCTCGCCGTGGTGGATCAATTTCGTCCGCGCGGGAGCTAATAACTCCCTGGCGAGGATTTCGCGGAGGACAAGGGTATCTAGTCCCAGGCGTGCTCGGGTGAGATCGAGCAACCACTCGGTGATGACGCCGACGATGTGCTCGCGGAAGGTGTCGTGTCCTCTGCGCACAGTGACGCCCAAGTCGATTTGCGATAAAGCATGGGCAATGTCGAGCAGGCGCACTGCGTCGGTGCCGCTCGAAACAACCACTCGCCCGTCCTCGTCCAAGCGGCGTACGAGTAGCGCCGCTTCATCGGGGTGAATGGAGGTAAGATCTGCGAGCAAGGTCGAAAGCTCTTCGTAGGAGTGCTTGTCGTCATTCCAGAGGACGATACAGTAGTGGTCTTTGAGCAGCGGGTCGCCCGAGGGTTGCAGTCGGAGGTCAGCCTCGTTCGGGGGTACGGACGGCTCATCGGGTGAGAGGTCGAGCGTGTCCAGTATAAAGTCCAGCGCACACGCAATAGTCCGGGCCATCGACTCCCGTAACTCGGGAGCAACGGTCGCGCGATTAGCGTAGTTGGCGACAGGCGGGATATCGTCGGGGATAGGGCGGTAGTAGGTCTTTGGTGGATCGACCTGGGGCGCGGGGGGATGGAAGGGGCAGTTTATTGGGTGCCGCCAGGCTTCTTCGTCGCCGCAATCGCAACATCCACCGGGCTGCTGGGCGATAAAGAAGCTGACATTGTGGCCCTCGTGGTCTGTCGCATGGAAACACCGCGCACACAGCACACAACTGTCATCTAGCGTACAATCCTTGCACCGAAAGCAGTTCTCGCCCTTCTTGAAGACGTGGCTGCACGGTCGGCCCGGGATTACTGGCTCGTCCTTGCCGGCGCCATTGAAACCTATTTGGGACTGTGCCTCGCTCAGCAGTACGTGTGCTTCTAAACTCGAGTGTTGCGGCAGAAAGAGCTCGCTGTAAGGGCCCCAGAACGCGTCGTACAGCGCTGTGAGCACTTCTGCGCGCGCGTTTGGTCCGAACGCATATTTGCGCAAGCCAGGGAGAGTTTCGAGGAAGAAGCGCAGCTGAGAGACGGACTCTAGTGACCGGTCGCGCGGGTTCATGGATGTGGGGAGGAATTTGGACGGGAAGAACGAGGTCAAGCCCGACATGGCGGCTGACGCAGAGGGTTTGTTTGCCAAGCGCCGCAATCCCAAATAACGCCCTCTGCCAATTTAGGAAGGTCCACGACGTTTACAGATTCACCGACAATGTGCTACGGAGAGTGCCCCCGGACCATATGCATGACTCATTCAACGTTAATGGACTAAATATGTAAGAGCAGTGGCGACCTTATGACGGGCGGTGAAATGGCCAACGACAGTACAGCCAGAGGTCAGGGAATTCGACAACGCAACATTCCGCGCGAGCTCAGCGATGCGGAGTCCCATGCACGCTTCGACGCCACTCTCGGAATGGAACCTATCGCGCCTGCGTACTCGCCGCCGTGGAGTCTAGCTCTTCCCGTTACCACCAAAGACGACGCACCAAAGACCCTGGAGCTGGCGCTTGAAGACGAGAGGGTGGCAAAGGCTACGTGGTATACCGACGGCTCGCTGTTGGAGGGGAGAGTGGTGGGGGCGGTGAGGCTGGAAGGGACGAGGGTGCGGGAAGTAGTGGAGATACTGCCTGGGGGGGGCAAGTGTGCGACGGCGAAATGGCGGGGCTAGTAGCGGCGACAGAGAAGGCACTGGCGGGCGGAAATGCACACGTCCTGTGCGTAGCGGACTCACAAGCGGCTCTTCGAGGGATTACCTCCACATCGCCGCGGTCTGGGCAGTACCGGGCAATCAAATACGACACCACGGTCCGCGCAGCTCTGCGCGACACCCCCACCTCTCCATCGTCAACTTGTGGACGCCTGCGCACGTCGGAACGGATGGGAATGAGCGGGCGGATGAGGCGGCGAAAAGGGCGACGAAGCTGAGCCGAGCCCGAGCCTGTACGTCTACCTCACAAAGGTCCGCCGCCGGATCCACCTACAGATCGTGGAGGACTGGAGCGCGAAGTGGAAGAAGTCGACGACGGGTGAGCCATTGCGAGCCATCGACCGATCACCACCGTCCCTCGTCCCGTGCTCTCTACTCATCTAAAACCGTCTCGCGCAAGACCTCCTCCGTGATTGCTCAACTCCGAACCGGTGCCTCGCCGCTCAACGCTTACAGACACAAGATTGGCGCAATTGGATCACCGAGGTGCGAAGCATGTGGTGCGGCGAACGAGACGCGAGCCCACTACTTGCTGGACTGCCCTCGCTGGGTCAACCGTTGCATGTCGCGTGCAGGAAAGTGGGCCTGTTTGGTTCGCTGCACTTCTCACCCATCCTCTCCAACCCAAACTCCTGATACCGCTGGCGGGCTTCGTGGAGGCGACGAAGCGATTCGACTGAAGTTACGTTCCCTTATTCTTCTTTTCCCTTTCCTCTCTTTCTCCGTCTTTTCCCCTACCTACATTACATACTTAGATAATACTCAAGGCCGAAATACCCCATAGACCATTACAATCACAATACCGCTACTCACATTACGACGCGACCACCCCGACGGACATATATATACAGACGATTACCCGAGCTACGATACCATTCCCTTTCTTCCTCCTTACTTATGCAATGATACAGAAAACCACCCAATAGTTACCTACCTACAACGTACTTAGGACCGCTGTCTTAGCCTCAACTGGCCCGTATACAGCAGAAATATATTGATTTATGATGATGATGATCACAGAGAAAATGCGGAGACCTGTAAAATACCCGCAAGTGCGTGCATTAGAAGAGTAAGTTTTGAGAAGCCTGGAGCAAACTCTTTGAATTCTTCCAAAGCAAAAAGATGAACAAAGGAGCCGAGAAGCCCGAAATTCATTTCAAAATTATTTGTGAAATTTACACCACACCAACCACTAATGCGTTTCCCAACTCCGTTGGTCGAGACAAGTAGACTTGCGTCCATCGTCTGTGAACGACTGCGACATTTTAATTTGAAAGTCAGGATCAAAGCTTAGTATTTCAACGAGAACCACCCGGGCTCTCTTCACCAAATAAATTAGGAGCCACTTCGCGGCTTGCCTTTGCGCCAGCTGCAAATTCTGGTTCGACTCAATGCAGCGATTTATAATTAGGAGGCCGATCAGCTTCTTGCCCGATCGGGTAGCTGAACGCTCAAGTCCCGATCGGGAAGGTAATAGCTCAAGCCCAACCGGTATCCTCCAGTATTGTCGTACACATATCTTCCTGACTCGATGAAGGGTGGAATTTAGTCGGAAACCCTGGCTGTCAACCAATTGAGTGACTAACCGCCAAAGTCTTAATCGGGGGTCTAAAAAGTCCGTTCTGACGACGAGAACGAGCTGCAATGTCGGGGATCTCTTAGCACAGTGGGAGTGCGTCGCATTCCAGAGTCGGGCTCGTATCGCGAAGGTCGTCCGTTCAATCCGGGCAGAGGTCATGTCAAGGAATGACAGAGTTATTTTGCCTCTCATATGACTCGAGGCATGAGTTATCTTGGTGACGGGGGTCCAGCAACATCCTATTTTTCTTTTGGTGCACATTTGGAGAAGAGGCTGCCTCTGTGGGAAGTGTCCCATTCCGCTCATACAACTTGGTACGGTACGAATTACTGAAGGTTTTACTCAAGCCTTTCAAAACTCGAGCGGGAAGTCGATTCGGCTACCGCATGGCGCGTCCTATTCTAATCTGCAGGAGGACTTCGACCCGGAAAGGTTTGCCTTCGGTGTGTTCGAGTCAAAAGTGTTCAGTGAGTGCTCAGGCTTTGGTTGAGGTTGAAATTGTTCGGATCGGCCCGAGCAGCCGAACGGGATCAATCCCACGCTGCAACAGTTCGTCCTTGCGACTCCTTGGCCTTGACGCTCGTCGGCTCGTCTACCTCTGCGGCAGACTCTGAACGTGCCAGAACGAATTCTGGGCTCGGATTCTACCAGACTGAAACCCACCCAACGACGAAATCTGAGTACCCCGTACCCTGCCACACTGTTCAGCGAGCGTCTGCTCTGGCGCTGATATGAGGGAATACTTCACAACGCTGTCAATTTCCGCTGGTCCCAAAGCTTTTGTGTGCCAACCAAATGTGTCGGTGACCAGGCGCTACTTCGAAAAGGCAAGGCGGAAGTATTTCTTCTTCTGGCCAGCTCCTGTCAGCTATAAATTCAACGCGCCTTCCCCTTTTTGGAAGCTCGCTCTTTGCTCTTGACCTCCATCATCTAGCACTCCATTCCCTCAAGCCTATACACACACAAGATGGTCGCAATCCAACGTCGCTTTGGTGCCCTGCTCGGCCTCTGTCTCGTCGCTTCGGCCATCCCCGCTCCCGCAAAGGTATATTGGTTTCTCGCCCGCCGCAAACCTGCCTTTGCTGATTCACCTCGCCCAGGACATGCACGCCCGCCGCTCGTCCCCTGTGGCCCAAGTCCCCCGCCTGCCGAGCAGCATCCCCAATGCGCCAAAGCCCGATACCAACTCCGTCTCTGTCCCGCCAACGCCGATGAAGATGGTAAAGCGCGCCACCTCGCCGCCAGCGATCCTGCCCGCTGTTCCGGACTCCAAGGCCCTCGTCCCTAACACGCCCAAGCGCGCCATGTCTGTACCGCCTTCGGTTCCGGTCCTCGCTGCCTCTTCCATTCCGCGCCAGCTCCCAGCTGCCCCCGCCGATAATGACACTCCCGCTGCACCCGCTGCGCCCAATGTTCCGGATCCTGAAGCAGAGACCAAGGCACTCCCCCTACCCGATACCAGCAAACAGTCGACGCCTGCTCCCGCGGATCCTAAGGAAGAGACGAAGGCACACCCCAAGCGCGACGTAACGGACCCCGACCAACTCGAGGACGATTTCAGCCCCGAGCTTGCTCTCGACCCACTAGCTGCGCGGTCTAATTCTGACGACGTTTCCGAACCCATGGAGCACCCTCCCATCCACCGTCAGCACTTCCGTGATATGGCGGCTCCCGTCACAGAACCAGCGGACACCGCCGTGAACGCAGAGTCGGGCAGCACGATGGGTCAAGAGAGCGGCAAGAGTGACTCCACGGTCGTCGAGGAGCCTTCAGTCGCCAAGCCATTGACCACGAACTCGGACACCCCCGTCGCGCAAACGTACGAGCGAAAGCGCCCAGATGACAGTAGTGTGGACGACATTGCCGTTGCGGGGACCAGCAGCGGCGACCAGGGACAAGCCCTGCACCAGTCTTCGACGACGCAATCGGACGGTAAGAAGACGACGGACACCGTGGTCGGTGGCGACCTAGTTCACGAGCACAAGGAGAGTGGGCGCGCGCTGTAGACGCGGAGAAGGTGCACGAACATATGAACTAAGATTGGAGATTTAAATGTACTTGTAAAGCTTTTATACCAGACTCGAATTTTTTCGTTCGTGATACGCTCAATCTAAGGCGTCCTTGATTTCAAGCACATCCTGGGGTCGGAGCGACGCTCCCGTGAATACAGTCCGAAACGTTGCCGGAGTGGGGCGGAGCTGCTCTCCGAGTCATGGTCGCCTCTTCCATTGACCTTCGCTTTCCCTTGACTGTTCTGATTCGAATGCAGCAGCAAAAGGATAGCACTAATATACATGTCTCCAATACCAGTGCGGGTGCGGGGAGGTACAGATACAGCAGGTGCACGGCGTACGCGTGCTTTTTGGTTTGTGTCGTGCGACGTGGACTCGTGATAGCGAGGGAACGGTGATCGGTGAATGAGTGTAGGTAGGTAGGTAGGAGGGAGTCGTGTATCTATCTATGCCTTCCGCAGCGAGGGATGCAGGATGTACTCGTGTAGCGCCTTGCCCGCGGCGACCTGTGCAAAACAAAAATATTCGATTAGTTAGGAATGAGAAACAGAGGAAGACGGGGGAAACCCACCATGGGGAAGACGTGCTCATTCCGCTCGATGAGGCACTCCATGAGGATGGGCTTCGCGTTGTCGTATGCGAGGAACTCGGCCATTTTGGCGGGCAGCTCTGCCGCCGTCTCGCACCGGATGGCGTGCACGCCCATCGCTTTTGCGAGCGCTACAAAGTCTGGGTTGGTCATTCTCGTGTGTGAGTAGCGGGCGTCGTAGAATAGATCTGTGGTGCGTGATTAGTTAGTTATTTGGATTACAGAGGCGATGGAAAGGAGGGGAAGGGAAACGGAAGGGAACGAACCTTGCCATTGGAGGACCATGCCTTGGAACTCGTTGTTGAGGACGAGGACCTTGACGCCGATGTTGTATTGCGAGGCGGTGGCGAGCTCCATGGCGGTCATGCTGAAGGATGCGTCGCCGTCAATGTCGACGACGATCTTTTCCGGTGCGGCGACCTTGGCGCCAATGGCGGCGGGAAGACCGAAGCCCATCGTCTGCGGCGCGTTAGCTTTTTTCTCTTGAACAAGAGTAGAAGACGCATACCCCTAATCCGCCCGAAGTAACCATAGACTGCGGGTGCGTCCATCGGTAGTGCTGCGCGGCCCACATCTGGTGCTGCCCAACACCAGTCGAGATGATGACGTCCGCCTTGCGGCCCTTGCACTGCTCGTCCAGCGCCTCCACAACCTCCTGCGGCTTCATCCGTGCCCCCTCCGCACTCGGCGTATACGTGAACGGATACGCCTCCTTCCACTTTGCCAAATCCTCAAACCACCCCGTGCGCGCGCTGCTCCTGATATGCGGCACCAGCGCGCCCATATTCTGCACCACGTCGCCCAGCACGGGTATGGTCGCCTCCACGACCTTGTTCACGTTCTTCGGCAGAATCTCAAAGTGTATGATCCCCCCGCGGCCCTGCGCCGCCGCCGCCTTGGCCGCGGGCGCAAACGAATCGAGCTTGCCTGTGACGCGGTCGTCGAAGCGCGCGCCGAGCGCGATGATCACGTCTGCCTGCTGCATCGCGAGGTTGGCGTACGCGGAGCCGTGCATGCCGAGCATGTGCAGGCTCTTGGGGTGCGTCTCGTCGAACGCGCCGAGGCCTTGCAGGGTGGTGCAGACGGGGATGTTACCGCGCTCTGCGAGCTCCCGTAGGAGGACGGGCCCGCGCGGGCTTGACAGAACACCGGCGCCGGCGTAGATGACGGGGCGCTGTGCCTGGTTGATGAGGGCGGCGGCCTGGAGGACGAGCGCGGGGTCGGTCGCGGGTTCGGGGAACGCGAGGGGGTTGGAGGGGAGTCCGAGCGCTGCGTGACCGGGGGTCGTCTGCCTGAACGGCAGTGCGGCCTTGAGGATGCTTGCAGTCACATCCTTGGGCAGGTCGACGAGGACGGGTCCGGGACGGCCAGAGGTGGCGATTTTAAAGGCCTCGTTTATGCGCCGAGGGAGCTCCGCGATATCCTTCACCATGACGTTCCATTTGGTGCAACTGCGTGAAATGCCGACCATGTCCGCTTCTTGGAACGCGTCGGACCCGATCGCCGATGTTGCGACCTGGCCGCAAAACACGACGAGGGGGAGTCCGTCGGAGAGGGCGTCTTGCATGGGGGTTACGACATTTGTTGCGCCTGGGCCGGAGGTAACGAGCACGACCCCGGGCTTGCCGGAGACGCGGGCGTACCCTTCGGCCATATGGCCCGCTCCCTGCTCATGGCGCGGCAGCACAAAGTCGAAATGCGGCGAATTGTAGATGGCGTCGAAGACGGGGAGAATAGCGCCGCCAGGGTAGCCAAAGACATGCTTCACGTCGTGTCGCAGCATCATTTCATGGAAAATTTCACCCCCACTTAGTCCGATGAATGTATGGTCTAGAGGTTCATTTGGAGGCGGCCCATAGTTGTGTGGGGAGGGTGTGGGTGCTGCAGTGCCCTGGGGAACCTGCTGAAATGCTGGAGACGGTACAGGACGCACAGGGGGTGCCGTGGTCGCTCCCAGCGTCGACGAGCGCGTTATGGCGCGGACGGCAGTGAACCGTGAAGGCCGCAGAGATGCTCTTGAACGCAGCAACATGAGAGGAGAGAGCAAGCGACAGTGGAGTGAGTCAATTTGGAAAATCAGGTCACGAGGGCGGGAAAAAGCAAAGACATGGAAATGAATATCGGAAAATAGAGAATTGTATAGAAGACATTCAACTAAGTAAATAACGGGGTGGGGAGCGGGTATTCATTATCCTACAAGACGAGACATTTGCTGTGGTGCCCTTGCCTCTTGCTCTTGTTGTTCAACAGAGCCGCCCGGGTCGCAAACTGGAACACCTCCTTGACGCCCTCGCCCGACTTGGCAGAACACTCTAGGTAACTGCGTGCACCGATCTTCTGCGCAACGGCCATGCCCTGGATGGACGGCGGTCAGGATTGCTCGATACAAGATAGACGGGAACCGACCTCCTCGGGCGTCACCGGCCGCTGGCTCGTCTTTCGCAGCTCCTCAATCACCCGCGGGTCCCGGCGCAGATCCTTCTTGCAGCCGACGAGGATGATGGGGAGGCCGGCGCAGAAATGCATCACCTCGGAAATCCACTGGGAGTGGCGTCAG